CTCACTTAATAATTAAATTGTCATTTCCATAATATTTTATCTGACTAATAAAAATTATTTTTATTTAAATTTTTGGAGTGTCACATATGGTGACCATGTATTTCCTTGGGCCATATGTTCTTGTTCTTCTGGTCCATCTCATTTACGGGTCAACTCGCAATCAGTCCTACAAATCAGAGGATGGTGGCGCATTAGTTCAGGCATGGCGACCACGTCGCTCGAATATTTCTTGTCTCAATTTTGTATTATAAATTCATGTAACTCTTGGAAGAACGAGGGGGCGGAATACATTGAATACACAACATACAATTATCTCTCTAAGTATTATTCTCAGTGCTTTAATTATTTTCGACTATCTATTAATTATTTTCCGGTGGATTTACTTCCATCACGGGGAAACAATAATCCTTCTTATCAACAAAGGTGGAACCAAGGGAGCAATTGGAAGCCACAATCCCAATCCGGAGCACCTAATTTTGGGCAGCCTAAGGAGATCACAATGGAAGATATGATGCAATTCATATCCAAGAGCATGGCAAGCATGAAAGCCCAAAATGAAGAGAACCATAGTAGAGTGGAGGCATCCATTGGGAATCTCCACTCTCAATTCAACAAGTTGGATCTTCGCTTTGAAGATCAAAATATGAAGCTCAACCAACGCATTGACAACATCGAGCAATATACCAAGGCATCCATCCGGAATCTTGAAGTTCAGTTGGGGCAACTCACCCAAAAAGTAAGTTCTAGGGAGCAAGGCGAATTCCCTACAACCACAGAAATCAACCCTAGGGAGAGCGTCATGGCCATTACCACAAGAAGTGGGAGACAAACGGAGGACCCCAAGATGCCGGAGAGGAGAAGTACACCGGAGGGGAAAGAAGAGGTTTCACATACACCGTTACCGCCTATTATGGCTCAATATGTTCCTCCCATCCCCCTATCCACAAAAATTGAAAAAGAAAGGAGATAATAAGAAATATAAGAAATTTCTTGATATTTTCAAGAAATTGAGCATCAACATACCATTTTGCGGAAGCCATTGCGGAGATTCCATCATATGCAAAATTTCTTAAAGGTATCATCTTCAACAAAAAGAGGTTAGAGGAATTCACAACTGTGGCATTAACGGGGGAATGTAGTGCCATTATTCAAAACAAACTTACTCCAAAATTAAAAGACCCCGGAAGCTTCACTATTCCATACTCTATTGAAAAAGTCGGGGAGGTAAGGTCTCTTTGTGACCATGATGCTTGCATAAATCTTATGCATTACTCTCTATTTAAAAAGCTAAGTGTGGGGGAACTCCAACCAACAACGGTCGCCTTACAATTAGCGGATAGAACAATCCGCTATCCAATAGGCATCATGGAGGATGTTCTTGTCAAAGTTGGAAAATTCTACTTCCCGGTAGATTTTCTTGTTTTGGACATGGAAGAGATGGAAATATCCGTCATCCTTGGGAGATCATTTTTTGCCACCTCTGCAGCCGTCATTGATGTACAAGCGGACACGGTAAAGCTAAGAGTGGGAGGAGATGATGAAACATTTTATGTATGGAAGACACAATCCACTCCAACTCAAAACATGGAGGACAACACAAACCGTTTCACACCTCCCAAGGCCATAAACATCATGGACATCAAGAAGGAACAAATATTCAGGCCCGAGGACCCTCCAACACACCTCGAAGATGTACTCGAGATCACACCAACGAACAACAAAGTTCTCCCAAAACTCTACCCGATGAAAGAAGGCACAATGATGAAATTCTTGGGTGTGTTTCGGAAAAAACGAAGAAATATTAATTAAATAAAATTAATTAATAAACAAAATAGCTAAAAGAAAAAAGAAAATAAGATGGAACAGATTTTAGCCAGAGCTCGTGCTACGCACGATGTCCTTAAAACGTATTCGTCGCCTCCCACGGTGCTAGGAGCGTTGCAACGACCGTTTCCCAGGATACGGTGGCTAACGAACGATCGTTTGAGAACACAAACGAAAGTTCCGGCGAACTGGAACACAGTAAGAACACTTAGGAAATTTGGGAGTAGCTGGAAGTGTTTTTCGCTCAAGAAAACGTGAGGAATGTATTGTGTGTTGTGAAACCGTGTGTTTGTTGCAAAGCACCTGCCAGCTATTTATAGGAGGATTTGTTGTGTGTTAAATGGGGTGTTAATGGACCTGAACGTTGGACATCAATGACCAGTCCGTTGGGTATTGAATCGTCCATAAATTGTCCATTTAACGCAGCACTAAAAGAGAAGAACGTTGGGCATTAATTGTTATAACGGAAGAATTGCGTGACAGAAGACCCCGACAGAACACCCCTTCGAGGGGTTCTGTCCGAAGCCAACAGAACACCCCTTCGAGGGGTTCTGTCCGAAGCCAACAGAACACCCTTCGAGGGATTATGTCCATAGCCAACAGAACACCCCTTCGAGGGGTTCTGTCCGTAGCCAACAGAACACCCCTTCGAGGGGTTCTGGTCGAGGCCTTCTGTCCGGAGCACTTCTGGGAAAAAATAAACGTTTCGGGAGATAGATTCTTGGACGGCATTCGTGTCCGCAGGTCGCCCGCGCACACGAGTCGCGGTTTTTCTTCTCCGTTTCGGGATTTGATCGGCACCCCCCCTGCGCGTAAGAGAGAACCTTTACTCTTAGGAATCTTAACTCCTTAAAAGAGACTTCCCTTTATAAGGGGGTGAACATCCCTTGAGTTTTTCGGTGTGGGATAAAACACACTAGAAACTCATCATTTTCCGAGTTTTTCCATTTCAACGAGTGAACTTCGAGAATCAATTTCTCATTCACCCGTTATCCGTTTTGAGTGTACCACATATCGAATTGTAGCCCTTAACAAGGACAATCCGAAACCACTTTGACCCGACCCAAATCTGAAGCAGATCCCACTCAAATAATTGCCCCAAATGACCAATTAATGCAATTTTTAACACATTTTTCCAACAATCCCCCACATGAATGAAAATTGATTTTCGAGACTTAAAAAGACACGAAGATAGGAGGACACGTTGTGTTCACCGGATCATCCTTGCATACGGAGAGGTAGGTTTTATCCTTTGAACCTTCCGTTGTAAAGACACGTTTATTTACTGGCTGTCTAGTAGACTCGATATCCTTGAACTATACTGTCGTCGTGTAAACATTGACTTATCTTTACACAAGAACCTTCCAACTTTGTTCCGTTCTCATGGGTGTGCCCATTTTGGTCGAAAGGAATTTGAACATGCCAAAAGGAAAGACCATCGCGTATTAATTAGGCGGAAGAAACCTTCTCATATACTCCTACTTAGGGATGGACTGGGTCGAGGCAGGGCGGCCCATGACTGGAACTGTTTGGACCATCTCGGGACTGACTTTCCGGTATCGGCTCAGGATCGGCTTTCCAGTACCAGTCCGGTACCCGAACTGTAAACGGGACGGGCTCGGGCCTGATCTTTTGGGACCAGACCAGCCGGTCCCAACAGATATATTTAAAAAAAATAGAGGGTTGGGACCGACTCGGACCAGAACCAGTACCAGACCAAACCGGGTCGGTACCAAGTTTCAATTATTTAGATATTGAACCAACCCGGCTCCATGCCTACTCCTACTTGTAAACTACCTTCTCATTTCGTCTTCGTCTTCTTCGTTCTTTCGGAGCTTTTCCATATTTTCTTTGACGAATGTTCCTACGTGCTACTATCCCTAACAACATGCAACTTTGGATAGAGTTAGGGAGATGTTAGTAGATGACTAACAAATTTGTTTAGATAAAGGATTGCGGGTCGAGTCATTGACCAATTATAGGACTAGGTCGGAGTCACTAATTGGTTATAGAAATAGCACCGTAGCTCGTAGCCACTAATTTTTGAGTCACTAACAAGCTTTGAGATGGAAGGATAGTAATTAGTAACTGTTGGGATTAGGGATGGACTCGGGCCGGGTGGCCCGACCCGGAACCGGCCCGGGACCGGCACTGTTCCGGCCCGGCCCGACCCGGTGACCCGGTCAGTGACCGGTCCGGGTAGGCCCGGCCCGTGGGTTTTCCGGTCCGGGCTCGGGTCACCCAAAACAAGGCCCGACCCGGCCGGGCCCGGTTCGGGCCAATTTTTTTTTTTTTTTTTTCAATTTTTTTTAACTTTTCGGGTTGGGCTGGGTATTTTGGGCCATTTGGGGTGGTTTGGGGGGTTGGGGGTGGGAGGGGGTTAATTAGGAAGAGGAAAACAAATATATATATATATATATAATGGGCCTGGCCCGGCCCGGCCCGGACCCGGTGGTTACCCGGGCCGGTCCCGGGTCCACCATTTCTGACCCGATGGCCCGCCCGGGCCTAGGCCCGACCCGGCTCGGACCCGAGTCCAACCCTAGTTGGGATGAAGTTGAGTAAACAAGGATCACTAAGCTGTAATCGCTGGGCATGAGTGCATGACCCAATCACTTTCAGCTACTCCTGATTCCTGATTTATGGCATTCAGTTAGACAATCTTTCTTCAGACTTTTTTGCATGTGGATAGCACTAGGGTTGGACTCGGGCCGGGCCAACCGGCCCGGAACCGGACCGGCCCGCTACTGTGCGGGCCCAGACCGGCCCGGTGAACCAGTTGGTTGGCCGGTTCGGGCCACCCGACCCGGTGGGATGGCGGTTCGGGCTCGGGCCCTTCAAAAGGTGAACCGGCCCGGCCGGGCCAATTTTTTTTTTTTTTTTTTTTTTTTGAATTTTTTAAGTTTTTGGGTTGGACTGGTATTTTGGGCCATTTGAGGTGGTTAGGGTTGGTTAGGGTGTGAGGGGGAGGGCTGGGGGTTAACTAGGAAAAGCCAAAAAAAATTAGAACCAAGGCCCGGCCCAACCCGGGGGTTACCCGAGCCGGTTCCGGGCCTCCCCTTCCTGAACCGAGGCCCGTCCGGGCCCGAACCGAAACCGGTCCATGCCTAGATAGCACATTAGTCATATTTTTGGAAAAAATGTTTTCATCTCACGTTTGTTTCTTTCAACCTCCATTTAGTAATTTACATTAAAAAACACCCTGTTTAATTATTAGAGTTATAAAAGAAAAACAAAAATGGCCTTTCAACACCAAGCTGAAGTTGGGGAGAGCGATATGCAAGAGAAATGATACATGTGTCTAAAGATACTCACCCAGCCTCCCTCTAAAGTACGATCAAAAGCAAGGTAAAGCCACGTTTCAGATCAGGGACCATTTTATTTGGTTACAACATCATTTCAACCAAGATTATCATTATTACTAAACTCTAATTAAGAACGACCTTTATCCATACGGTTATGACCTGTTCCATTTAGATGCTCTACAACTGAGCAGGCTGCAGCTTGCTGGGAGTGTCACTGGTTTCACCACAAGTCGGCTGAGCAGGTTGCAGCTTGCTGGGAGTGTCGCGGGTGTCACCAAAAGTCGGCTGAGCAGGCTGCAGCTTGCTGGGAGTGTCGTTGGTGTCACCACAAGTCGGCTGAGCAGGCATCGTACTAAGGGCACCAGCCTCTTTTAGCATTGTGATGAGCTCCCCCTTCCTGTGCTTCTCCACCATTGCTGCGGTTTTTAGTGTATATAAAAAAAACACAGCAAAACAGTTGTATCACTTCATAAACTGGGGTTTAATTTGGTTTATCGTTTAATAGATTCGAACAGGAATATTTAAAACCTATTACCCCTCGTTCTTAAACAAGTGCCCAAAAAATAGTAAATCAGTTCTGTTTTGTCAGGATACACCTTTTAAACTTTGGCCACGTGCTACTCTTACAGATATATTGAGCATTTGAGCCCTACCTTTATTACCATATTGGATTTGTTTGTAACATTTCTTTGCCATCCATCTACATGAAAAATCTCTTGTGCAAAAAGTCTGTTTTTTTGAATGGACAAAAAATAGATTTCCAAAGAGGGCATTTTTGGGGTGGCATGAGTAGCGTTATTTAAGCTGATAATGATTTATTGATTTTGTAACAAGCTATCCAACATACCTCCCGTAAATTCTAGGTATTAAGAGGACACAATCAAAAACAAAAATGAATGAGGGACAAAGTAGTCATTTCACTGAGAATTGTGCATTGCTAGAGGACCACCAGTCCGCCACCTATACATTAACAAAACAAAATGGGCTCTCCCTCAGACACTCCGCCAATGTTTTCCTTTGCTTAAAAAATGTTTCCCTTTTCTCTTAAAAAATATAAACTTCAAACTGGTGCTTCTCCTTAAATTAAAGCATAAAAGAGGTTGTAAGTAAGAGAAGGAGTGCTTAAACTTGACTTTCATTTTTTCTAATACACTTAAAACACCTTTTTCACCAAACAATTTTAGTTTGTACTTTTTTAAAAATACTTTTCTTTTCAAAGTAACTCCACGATTTTATTAACCTTTACTACTAACCATTTTCTCCTATAATCACTAAAATAAATCACTAATTAAAAGTAGAAGCAAACTTGGGTCGTTTTGATCAATTTTGGTTTTATCTTATTCAGTTTGTTAATCAATTATGATTTATCATTATTTTGTTCAGTGGTTCAGCCCTATAGTAGACTATATTATTAATGTTGTTGTGGTTGTTATTTATTATTAATATTACAATTATTATTTAGAAGGTAATAAAGACTGGACTGAAGATTTTATCAAACGATTAGGTCTGCATTATTGTATGACATAATAGAGTGTTGGGTGGTGAAACAATGTCACATTCAAAAGATAAATGTCGCTAAGATGCGTATGTTTTGTTAGATGTGTGTATATGTTAAAAAGGACAGCTTGAGGAATGAGACAATCACAAAAAAAGTAGGGTAGCACCTATTGAATATAAGATGTGAGAGTCTTGACTACGGTGATTTGGCCATGTGCGTAAAAACCCGAGTGATGCACCTATTAGATGAGTTGAGAAATGGTGAGACGGGGAGGAGAAGGAGCAGAAGACCCAAATAAACATGGATTAAAAGACTCAGTAGTGATATGCTACTTCTTGATTGGGTGAGAGGATTTTGGAGAGAGCGAAGTAGAGACAGCATACTCAAACAAAGGATTGATCTCATTACATCTTTTCTATCTCTTTTTCTTTTTTTCTTTCTTTTGTTCTTTATCTTTTTACTTTTTGGGAAAATGGAAACTAATAATCCAACCTTTTAGTGGTCTTCTTACAATAGTCCCACATTTTCATTATTCATGAATAATCCGACCTTTACACTCCATCTTCATTCACTGGTCCCTGACCAATTTATGACCTGTTATTCCAATTTATTTTCTTATCTTTGCAAAACATTATGCGATCATAAGGTGGGAATTATGGTATAATGTTTTACAAAGATAAGAAAATAACTTGGAATAACAGGCCATAAATTGGTCAGGGGCCAGTAAATGAGGATGAGGTGCAAAGGTTGGATTATTCATGAATAATGAAAAGATGGGACTATTGTAAGAAGACCGCTAAAAGGTTGGATTATTTGTTTCCATTTTCTCTTACTTTTTTTATCTTCAACTTCATCTAATCGTTTTTATATTTTTATCTTTCTTTTTATCTTATCTTTTCTTTTTTTATATCTTTTTAGCTATGATTTCATGTGTTGATTCATGTTAGCTAATCTCAAGCTCTTTTGGGACTAACACTTGTACGTTGTTATTGAGAAGACATTAAAACTTGATGTTCGATGCTAAAGTATAGCCAAACAGGTAAGGAACTTGGTGTTCAATGTTAATCCGGAATCTAATATACTATCCTCCATATTGGCATAAGGTTCTTGTTCATTATTCATCTGGTCAACTTTAATTGTTCTTAATTTTTTACCTTATGTATGCAACTTATATCAAATTTGAGTTTTTTGCGACTTCATAAAACTTTTAATGTAGTTTCTGAATATGTAAATTTTATTTACGAAAAATAATCTTATTATTGACAGGGATTAATTAAATTTATGATCAGTCAAATATCATAAACCAAAACAGGAACCTTATTGTGAGACGGATGGAGTATTATTTTATACCAAGAGATGTGGAAGAAATACTCCTAACATGCTCTTCTAAAGAACCAGGTGCTACAAGCTACCTTAATTCATCCAAACAAACCACAAGGGGATAGACTTGAGAATTTTATCTCATAAGTGAACCGGATAAGAAAGAAGGTAGGTAGCACAATATCTTGCATATTACTCTCTAGTTTATACTCCCTCCGGTCCCTATTAAAGTTCTCACGTTCCTTTTTGGGATGTCCCTTATTTAAGTTCACACTTCCATGGTAAGAAACAAAACAGTGTAAAACAGTGTCAAACAGTGTCCAAACAGTGCCAAACAGTGCACTCCACAGTAAAGTCAAATTTATTTTCTTAATCTGTGTGAAGTCAAACTAGAAACTTTAATAGGGACCGGAGGGAGTAACATATAAAAGAAGGGAAAAGTGGCGCACCATCACAGCCCCCGACGTGCTTGCCCGCAATGAAAACATTCGGCACAGTCCTCTGATCAGTCCACTCAAGTAGCGCATTCTGAATGACAGCCCCATCACCTTCAATCAATAAGCAAAACATAAATCATGCAACTGCTTTAAAGGCTGAAAGAAGAAGAGCCTAAAAAGATTATTGTGACTCAAGAATGCATGCATACTTTGTTTGTCAAGCTCAATGACTTGTTTCGCAGCACCAAGCTCCAAAAGAAGCTTCTTCACTCTTGTGCAAAATGGACAAAATGTTTTACTGCGTAAAAACAGGCACCAACCATTGTTCATTCTCTTCTCTTCTCACCCTTGAGCAAAACAACCTTAACGCTAAGGGTGAATCATGTTTAGTTTGAGTCCTTGTTGTACCCACTTTTGTACACACATTTGTACTCACCCCCTTATTTTATGTACACAGACAAAATGATGTCTTCTTCTTAACGAATTGCATGTGTGCATAGGCAAAATAGGGGTGGGTACAAACAGATTTTTTGGTTTAGTTTAGCGCTGACCTGATGAATATGCTTTTAGGACCCTCAAAACTTTTAGGTGTGTGCTGTCTTATTCATTTTAAAATTTTTCACTTTCTTTAGTAGGTACTCGATTCACAAGATGCTATATTTTAAACACTTTATAAGAAAAAAATTAGAGTAAGATCCAGAAATGTTTACACTAGGTTGCCACACCAAACACATTAAGATCAGAAAGACCGACCAAGACAGTATTAAATATAAAGACCGGACAAAGAGAAGTGGTACATAGTTCAAACAGAAATGTGAGACTTTTCAACCAACATTTTCACCAAACACCTAACTTTTGATTTTGCGCGCTGAATTGTGTAATAATAAGAAAAAATAAGGTTGGAGTTACTTTTCTGGATGTATTAGCTGAAGTTATTTTAAAGGATCTTTTTAGCTATTTTTCATATAATTTTTTATTTTTATTTATTAATAACAAATATTTTAAATATAAATTTTCCATAATTCAACAGAATCAGCCAATAAAACCACTTCAGCCACAACTTCATAAATTTCACCAAACAATTTCGGTGTTACCAAACAGGCTCTTAAATTTCAACCCTTTGTTTTGTCTCTCAATAGAACCGCTACTTGAACAAAAGAAAACAAATTAATTATGAAAATATTACTCCCTCTATCCCGAAAAGGTTGGCCAAAGTTTACTTTTACGTGAATTAATAAAGTAAAAACTGTGTGCTTGAAATTTGTGCAATGGAGAGAGAATTAATTCTAGCCACATATTCCTTACTTTAAATGAAAATGGAAAATCTTTTTGTGACATCCAAAAAAGGAAATTTGGCCAACCTTTTAGGGACGAACAGAGTATTAAATAAGAATCCTGACGGAATTAAGACAAAAATGGGATGCCTGCTTTTATATTTTTGATTGATTGATTTGCCAAACATGTATCATTTGGCGCAACTTTGAGTAGGCTTGAAGTTTTCCCAAATTTTTGACCAGATATGAAATTCATTAGTCAATTTTGACTGCATTGGTATGACAGACCTATAAAGTTGAAGCAAATTTTGAACAAAATAGGTTTTGAAGTATAAGATTGCAAAAAAAAAGTTCTCTTCTTTTCTGGTATTCTGATCACCGGACAACGTAATAAATCAATGAATAGGATGGGAAACACTGATTGAGGGATCTCTGGTTTTTAGACTTTCTAATTGATTTACAATTATTTTATTCAATAGTAATAAAAAGAATTAAGTCTGGGAAAAAGATTAAATGGTTGAAATTTGTGGTCACTAGGCCCGATCGGAAGGTACTCTTATCGTTAATTAACAAAAAACCTAATTTATGATTGCGCATTTGAACTCGAGTAGGTGAGAACCACAAATAGAAGCCTGTACAACTACAGATCAGCTGGGCCTAAAAATCAATTTCCAGCTTTAAAAGAAGGTCATAGAAAAAAACTATTAAGCACAAGGTCAGAAAATGAGAATTTGAAGGTAAAACAAAACGAAAGAGGGGAAATATTGCAAATTGAAGTTTCGACCTGAACACGACAACGGGGTGGGAAGAAACAATTTGTTTGACTTTGTAAAGAGCCTTCTCCGTCTCTTCTTTGCTCGTCATCTTGATGTTCATACTCAACAGCGATCCCATCAGGCGGCCCCTTTTATCTTGTGTCCAAGAGGATAAGGGTATAGGGTACACCAAATTTATACACCCTGATGTACGTATACACCTTATATTTTTGTAATGCTTTACGACATTTAACTTGATTATTACTCTCTCTCGGCCTCGAAAAGGTTATTAGACTTTTCTTGATCCAATCAACTTTGATCAATGAAAACTTTTAACTCAAAATTATTTTGAATATAAAAATTATATCAAAATATTCCTTATTCAAAATATTTTCATAAAATTATAAAATTTAAAAATTACATTCAAATATAATAATTAAAATCTTTGTAAAAGTTTGTCATTCATTGACCAAGAAAAGTCAATATGGCAAATTTTTTCGAGACGGGTGTAGTATTATAAATCTTTGAACTCCTGTACCCTACTCTCACGATGTTGCTCGGTTGTTGTTCTCCCTGCACACCTGGACTTCTTCATTCCATTTTTTCCTTTATTTCAATGATTACAGAATTCTTTCCAAAACTGACTGCATTTGAATTCTGAAAACATTAAAGGTAATGATAATATGATTGAAACATCTTCATCATTCTATTTTTGTTATCTTCATTAAATACTAATGCCCACCAACCGTTCGGAAAAATTCCAAAGTGAATTTTTGTTCATGTTTTGAGCAAATTTTAAATAAACTTTGTTGTACTTGAATATAGTATGGACTATGTAAAATTTATTTTGCATAGTCGTTCTATTTTTTGCATTGAATTAAATACTCCCTCCGTCCCAAAATAATTGTCCTGCTTTCCTTTTCGGCCTGTCTCGAAATAATTGTCTCATTTCCTTGTTTGGTAAACAAATCTATACAAAACAGTGTCAAACAATGCAAAATAGTGTCAAACAGTGTCGCTACAGTGCCAAACAGTGTCGCTACAGTGCCAAACAGTGTCGCTACAGTGCCAAACAATGTCGCTACAGTGCCAAACAGTGTCGCTACGGTGTGAAGTCAACTTCGTTTTCTTAATCTGTGTGAATGTCAAAACAGGACGATTATTCCGGGACGGAGGGATTGGCTTTTATGCTACTTGAATTGAGGAATTCTTGATTTTGTTTGTTATTTTCTAAGTTTTATATTTAAACAATTTGCTATTAGATTTCATGTTTGGTTTTTATGTATTGGATCCAACTACTAATGATTCATATTGTGATATTTTGAACGATTAATGTTATACTTTTCTATCATTAAATTTAAAATGAGCATTCATCAATTTTACAATGTGTGTTGCGTTAAAATCGGTTGAGCTTTATTGTTAAGAAAGATTTATTCTAATTTATTTGTAATGACTATGTTACATGTGTGAGTTATACAAATGATTTTTATGTTATACATATATGAGCATCACTTTCAAAAAAAAATGAGCATTGGTATAACATTATAAAATGAGTAAAAAAGAATTTTATGTTACAGCCAAATGAGTATAATATTTACACGAAATGTACATCGATATAACGTTTTAAGATAAGTACTATTACGGCTGACTATTCAATGATGATTTTTTACGCTCAATAGGTTTTTGATAGAGTATATCTAGAGAGAAGTGAGAGCTAGAGAGAGAAGTGCAATAATATGCTTCAATAGAATGAATTTGTAACCCCTATAACTACTCCCAAGGGGAGTATTTATAGAGAAAATTAGGGTTGGGCTCCCAAGCCTTGGGCTTGGGAGGCCCATTTACAACTGGACCGCTACTGGGCCGAATACAAAGCCTCTAATGGGCTATACAAATGAGTAAGTATTGATCCGATTCTGGGAGGTCTTCGTGGCCGACGAGGGCGCGGCCGACGAGGGCACGGCCGACGAGGGCACCCGGGTTCCTTGGACTCAGGACCACAATCCGAGTTGGCTTCTTCTCGGCCGACGGGTGCGTCTTGGCCGACGAGGGCGCCACTCTGTTGTCTTGTGCTTTCCGTTCTTCCGAGTATGTGGGTCCTGGGGCTTAGACCCATATACTCCATCAGGAGTCCCCCACTCTCTAAGCTGAGACGTAGGCGAAGTGAAGGAGAGTAGATTTCTGTGCTTTGTTGCTTTTGGCCGACGCGGGCATTTCCAGGCCGTTAGCCGTTGCGGTATTGGCGCTGTTTCCATTTTGGTGATCCTGTTATGGGCTTTGGCCGTTACCTGCTCCTCGCTGTGGGCGGGGAGGCCGTTATTTCCTTGATATGTTCGTTTGAGGACGATGAGTGTCTTTGTCTCTAGTGGCTTGTTGGCCGTTGCTAATGACGTTTTGGGCCTTTGGCCGATGAGGTTCCGTTGGGCTGTGTGGATGATGTGGCCATGTTTTGTGGTTACCTTGTTTATACTCTTTGTTTCGTTGAGGCCGGTGTAGTCCCCCAGTCCCCCACTGCTTCAGGCCGAAGAGTGTGAGGGGTGAAGGAGTTGATTGAGTCCCTGGCCGAAGCGGTCTCGCCGTAGTCCCCCTGAATCCAACTCTCATGGCGATTTTCTGGCCAAGGTAACCCTGTGGGAGAACCCTTGTGCGCAGATCGCTTGTAGAGAGTTATCATCAAGGGTTATTATGAGGAGCCGAAGGCTGTGGGCTATTTGTCCCCTTTGTTCTATGGCCGTTACGTTCCTGGCCGTTGCCATCCTCTTATTGTTTGGCATTTGTGATCTTGGTGAGCAAGTGGGACGTTGTGGGCGCTTGCTGGCAGTTGTAAAGCCGTTGAGCGTGTGTAGGCCGTAGAGTCTGATTTGCCGGTGGGCCGTTGATATGGGTTGGTCCTGGCCCGTTGGTGACGTGGTGGCCTCCCAGTGGTGGCCGTTGATGTGGCCATTGAGAGAGTGCCACGTGTAGTGACCGTTGGTGGGGGGGTCTATAAATACCCCTTCCCCTCCGACGAGGAATCACATTTGTATTCTGAATTTGTCGAAGTGCTGGCCGATTTTCTAGAGAGATAAACTCCCAAGCCTGTTCTTCGTTGTTCGAGGTTAGTGTTCATCACGATCTTCCTCGCTTTTCATACTTTGCTTCCTAGGTAGTTGATCTAGTGTTAGGCGTTTAAACACCTTTAGATCTTAAGTTGTTCTCCTTAAGCCCGTAATAGTAGTAATGAAGAGCTTGAACGAGGACTACTACCCCTACGACGACCAGCCCTCCACGAGGTCGCTTGTTTACGAGGTGCTCGAGGAGTTTGAAGAGGAGATAGAGCGTTTGAGTCCCTACAAATCCGGAGAGCTGATGGACGAGGAAGGCGAGGACGAGGAGTCCGCCTCCTCTTCAGAGGGTGAGGACGTAGGCGCGTCCCGAGCGGTGGACGGGGCGTCCACTTCTGCTGTCGTTCCGTGCCCGAGGCCGGTGTCTGCCGTGAAGGGAGCAGCTAAGCCGAAGAGGGTGAGGAGGCCGAAGAATGGGCCGGGCCTCTCCTACTTGGACCTCACCAACATATTCCTGATCAAGCCGGAGAGCAGTGCGTCCGACTATCTTGTCGCCCAAATGTACGTGGGGCCGTTCGGGCGGGTTAGGGCACCCAGGCCGACGGACCATGTTCTACTTCCGCCACCGGGATACTTTGGAGTATACCCGATGAGCTTTGCTAAGGGGTTGAGGTTCCCCCTTCACCCTTTCGTCATTGAGTATCTGGACATGGTGGGGCTTCCTCCGGCCTTGCTGACGCCGAACAGTTATTCCTTGATGGTGGGATTTTTACTTCGGTGTGAGGAGTTGGGCTTCAGGCCGACCACGGCCTTATTCATGAACTTGTACCAGATCGGCCGAGGAAGCCACAAGAACTGTGCGGCCTACGCTACTCTTCAACAGCTGCCGAGGAAGAGGAGCTTCACGGATTTGCCCACGTCCATTCATGGGTGGAAGAGCAAGTTCGTGTTTGTGTCCATTGGTGAAAGTGGCACCGAGTTCCCCTCTCTCGGCCATACCGGGAGGTTCAATCTCCATGACCCGCCGAAGAGCTCTATTTTGGACGCTCAGGTGGAGGCTTTCCTGGAAGGGGGGCCGAGGAGCGTGAAAGATTACGTCACTGAATACAAGATGACCGCCCTCGGCTTCTTCAGATATCACCTGTATGGGGATAAGGAGGATGACCTTCAACTCTGGCCGAGGATGACCACCACCTTTGAGGAGGCCGATGGCCCGGATTTGGGCATTCCTGCTGAGGCCGATGGTAATTTTTTCTTCGGCTTTCTGTCTTTATGTTTTGTCCTTTGCCTTACTAATCTGTTTGTTTTTCCTTTGTAGACTTTGTCATGGACCGACGTTCCATAATGGCTGTTGCCAAGGCCAAGGCGGCCGAGGAGCTGGCTGCCAAGGCGGCCGAGGCGGCCCGACGTGCCGCTGCTGGTGGGAGCGGGGCTGCTGCTGATGCGGCCCCAAAGCCTGCCCCATCAAAGAAAAAGAGACCGGCCACTGACGGCCAGAAAAAGCTGACTGAGGCCGGCGTGAGCGTCTCTAAGAAGACGAAGAGGGCTCCTTCCCCTTCTCCGGCTAGTGAGGCCGGTACTCTTACTGTCCCCAGCGTGGGCGATGGTGGTCCCGTCGTGGACCTTACTGTTGCTGACGATGCTGCCCCAGCGCTTCCTCTCGTCCCGGAACCACGGACGCAGAGGGCCGGCAAGGAGGTTGCCGGTGCCACCTATCAGAAGGTGATAGAGTACCCCGTCGGCGGGGGCGTGTTTAATGATCTCGTCCCCGGCCACGTCGTCCTGGCCAAGGCCATGCCGGCCAAAGATCGGGCTCACTTGAAGAAGCTCGAGGACCCGAAGATTTATGAGGGCGGTATGGACCTCCTCGTCCAAGTAAGTGACTGTCCTTATATTTTTGTCTCTCTTCGTCTGTGTAGAGTTTTTTTTTTTTGCCTGACCTTTGTATTTCTTCTGCAGAGTGCCTTCATGCTTATGGAAAGCCATAAGAGGCAGTACTGGGAGATAGCTCGCCTGCAAGCACTGGAGCAGAAGGCCGCCTCGGC